TACGAGTAACAAGATTCTTATCGATTGAACTTTGCTATTTGTACACTGATTTCTGACACGTTGTTTGACACTTGCATTGTTGGCAAGTGTCAATCAGATGAGAAAATTATTTGAAATTTAAACTATCCAACACGATAATGTCACGTGGTAAAGTGTAAACAAAAGTGTACACCATAGTGTACATGAAGCAAGGTTCTTACCGATTGAACTTTGCTATTTGTACATTGATTTTTGACAAGTTGTTTAACACATGCATTTCTTACCGATTGAAATTTTCTATTTGTACACTGATTTTTGACACGTTGTTTGACACTTCCATTGTTGACAAGTCTATTGGATAGGAAAACAGTTTGAAATTTAAACTATCCAACGGGGTAATGTCATGTGGCAAAGTGTAAACTAAAGTGTACATGTCACAAGGTTCTTACCGATTGAACTTTGCTATTAGTACACTGATTTTTGACACGTTGTTTAACACTTGAATTGTTGTCAAGTGTCAATTAGATGCGAATATTGTTTGAAATTTATACTGTCAAATAGGGTAATGTCACGTGGCAAAGTGTAAACTAAAGTTTGTACCATAATGCACGTGTAGTAAAGTCTTACTAATTGAACTTTGCTATTTGTACGCTGATTTTTGACACGTTGTTTGACACTTGCATTGTTGTCAAGTGTCAATTGTACAGGAAAACTGTTTGAAATTAAATCTGTCCAATAGGGTAATGTCACGTGGCAAAGTGTAAACTAAAGTGTGTATACCATAGTGTACGTGTAGCAAGGTTCTTACCGATTGAACTTTGCTATTTGTACACTTATTTTTGACAGTTGTCTACACTTGGATTGTATTCAAGTGTTAATTGGGTGGAAAATTGTTTAAAATTTAAACTGTCTAACGGGTTAATATCAAGAGGCAAAGTGTAAACTAAAGTTTACACCATAGCGTACATGTCGAATGGTTCTTATCGATTGAAGTTTGCTATTTGTACACAGATTTTTAACACGTTGTTTGACACTTGCAATGTTATCAAGTGTCAATTGGATGCAAAAACTGTTTGAAATTTAAATAGTCAAAGAGGGTATTGTTGCGTGGCAAAGTGTAAACAAAAGTGTGCGCCATAGTGTACATGCAACAAAGTTCTTACCGATTGAACTTTGCTATTTGTACACTGATATTTAACACGTTCTTTGATAGTTGCATCATTGCCAAGTGTCAATTGGATTGGAAAACGGTTTCAAATTTAAACTGTCCAAGGGGTAATGTCACGTGGCAAAGTGTAAACTAAAGTGTACACTATAGTGTACATGTAGCAAGGTTCTTACAGGTTGAACTTTGCCATTCATACACTGATTTTTTACAGGCTTTTTGACACTTGTATTGTTGTCAAGTGTCAATTCGATGAGAAAACTGTTTAAAATTTAAACTATACAATAGGGTAATGCCATTTGAAAAAATGTAAACAAAAGTGTACACCATAGTGTACATGTCTCATGGTTCTTACCGATTGAAGTTTGCTATTGGTTCGCTGATTTTTGACACATTGTTTGACACTTGTATTTTTGTCAAGTGTCAATTGGATGAGAAAACTATTTAAAATTTAAACTATCCAACAAGGTAATGTCAAGAGGCAAAGTGTAAACTAAAGTGTACACCATAGTGTACATGTCGCAAGTTTCTTACCGATTGAATTTTGCTATTTGTACACTGATTTTTGACCTATTGTTTGACACTTGTAATGTTATCAAGTGTTAATTAGATGCGAAAACTGTTTGAAATTTAAACTGTCAAATAGGGTAATGTCACGTGGTAAAGTGTAAACTAAAGTGTGCACCATAGTGTACGTGTAGCAAGGTCATACCGATTGAACTTTGCAATTTGTACACTGATTTTGAAACGTTGTTTGACACTTGTATTGTTGTCAAGTGTCAATTGGAGGCAAAGTGTAAATGTCGCAAGGTTCTTACAGATTGAAGTTTGCTATTTGTACACTGATTTTTTACCTGTTGTTTGGCACTCGCGATGTTGTCAAGTGTCAATTAGATCTGAAAATTATTTGAAATTTAAACTGTCAAACAGGGAAATGTCACGTGGAAAAGTGTAAACTAAAGTGTGCACCATAGTGTACGGGTAGCAAGGTTCTTACCGACTAAACTTTGCTATTTGTACACGGATTTTTGACACGTTATTTGACACTTGCATTGTTGTCATGTGTCATTTCAATGGGGAACTGTTTAAAATTTAAATTTTACAGTAGGTTAATGCCACGTGACAAAGTGTAAACTAAAGTTTACACCATAGTGTACTTGTCTCAAGGTTCTTACCGATTGAACTTTGCTATTGGTACACTGATTTTTGACACGTTGTTTGACACTTACATTGTTGTCAAGTGTCAATTGAATGGGAAAATTGTTTGACTTCAAACTATCCTACAGGGTAATTTCAAGAGGCAAAGTTTAAACTAACGGGTACACCATAGTGTACATGTCGCAAGGTTCTTACCGATTGAATTTTGCTATTTGTTCACTGATTTTGACCTAATTTTTGACACTTGCATTGTTGTCAAGGGTCAATTAGATGTGAGAACTATTTGAATTTTAAACTGTTAAACAGGGTAATGTCACGTGGCAAAGTGTAAACTAAAGTGTGCACCGTAGTGTACGTGCAGCAAGGTTCTTACAGATTGAACTTCGCTATTTGTACACTAATTTTTGACACGTTGTTTGACACTTGCATTGTGGTCAAGTGTCAATTCGATGGGGAAATCATTTAAAATTGAAACTGTACAATAGGTTAATGTTACGTGAAAAAGTGTAAACTAAAGTGTACACCATAGTTTACATGTCTCAAGGTTCTTACCGATTGAACTTTGCTACTGGTACACCGATTTTCGACACATTGTTTGTCACTTGCATTGTTGTCAAGTGTCAATTGGATGGGAAAACTATTTGAAATTTAAACTGTCCAACAGGGTAATGTCACGTGGAAAACTGTAAACTGAAGTGTACACCATAGTGTACATGTTGCAAGGTTCTTACCGGTTGAACTTTGCTATTTGTACACTTATTTTTGACACGTTGTTTGACACTTGTATTGTTGTTAGCAGTTAATTGGATGCAAAAATTGTTTGAAATTCAAACTCTCAAATAGGGCAATGTCACATGGCAAAGTGTAAACAAAAGTGTGCACTACAGTGTACGTGTAGAAAGGTTCTTACCGATTGAACTTTGTTATTTGTACACTAATTTTTGACATGTTGTATGAAACTTGCATTGTTGTCAAGTGTCAATTCAATAAGAAAATTGTTTGAAATTTAAGCTGTCCAGCAGGGTAATGTCACATGGCAAAGTGTAAACAAAAGTGTGCACTATAGTGTGCATGTAGCAAGGTTCTTACTGATTGAACTTTGCTATGTGCACACTGATTTTTGACATGTTGTTTGAAACTTGCATTGTTGTCAAGTGTCAATTGGATGGGAAAATTGTTTGAAATTTAAATTGTCCAACAGGGTAATGTCACGTGGCAAAGTGTAAACTAAAGTGTACATCATAGTGTACATGTTGCAACGTTCTTACCGATTGAACTTTGCTATTTGTACACTGATTTATGGCACGTTGTTTGACACTTGCATTGTTGTCAAATGTCAATTGGATGGGAAAATTGTTTGAAATTTAAACTGTCCAACAAGGTAATGTCACTTGCAAAGTGTGAACTATAGTGCACACCATAGTGTACATGTAGCATGGCCCATACCAATTGAACTTTGCTATTTGTATACTAATTTTTGATACATTGTTTAACACTTGCATTGTTGTCAAGTGTCGATTGGATGGGAAAACTTTTTGAAATTTAAACTGTCTGAAAGAGATATGTCATGTAGCAAAGTGTAAACTAAAGCATACAACATAGTGTACATAAACACAAGGTTCTTACCGATTGAACTTTGCTATTTGTACATCAATTTCTGACACGTTGTGTAGAACTCCAAATAATTCTAGACACCTTAGTGGCACTAAGACATGGATATTGGATGACTAAAGTATACTTCTGATTTTTAGTCTCATTTGAGACCCATTTTCGACATAGGAAACATTCGATTTGGAAAATGATATCTAAATAAAAGTTGTAGCTCTTTGAGTTAGATTTCCAATGCACTTTGAATTACCTCAATCGGATATCGACAGAAGAAGTTATGATAGAAACACTGAAAGCTGTGCAGTGTCAACTGGTCGACCGAAACTGCTTGAAATGAAAATTCTCGTTTTTCTCTAGAATTTAAATATTTATTTTCATCAATTATTTTCTCAAAGGGCCACCCACGTTTTTGGCAATAAAAATCCCGCTAAATTGAAGCATTTAACCTCAAACTTAAATGGCACCCATGTTTTCTCTCATAAATGAAATTTGACCCTTCATTTGCTTTAAATTATGGGATATTTACCTATAAATAGAGACCTCATTTCACTCATTTTTCTCACACCAAAAGCAAGAGTTTTTACATACTAAAGAAAGAGTTTCAAAGAGAGAAAAAGAGAGTGAGGAAAACTATTTTTCCTTGAAGTTTAAGAAGTGTTTTCAAACATCAATTCTCAACGGTTTTCAGACATCCAAGGAGTGCATTTCTTTCAACGTCCAAGTTTCATCGAAATTTTCAATCCAAGTTCTCAAAGTTTCAAAAGCATCAATCAAGGTAGGTAGAGATGCAATGTGTTTAACCGTGTTAAGTTATAAGTTTCGATTCATGTTAATGTTTGTATGTCAAATGGTACTCCGGTACGGCATATCTGTCACACCCCAAATATATACAGATAACCATACTAATTCCTATGTCGAAATGATATTGGTAACTCGATCTAGACATAAAATTTAGATATACTTTTTTTTAATAAAATGAAACGAGCATTTGCACAATTATGTCCCTATTTGTTAACTTCAAATCACCTGTGATGATCATATATTATATCAAAATCAACGATCACATAACCATAATCCAACACGTATGTTCTAAGGTTATAAACACATCTATAGGCCATTTCAAAAGTTATACAAGATAGGACCCCCAAAATACGACACAATAGAGTGTAAGCTCAAAACAATAGCCCACAAAATAACCCTACAGGTTGTCATCCATGTACATTGATTTTTGGAATCCCGTAAGAGCTCCACAGCTAGTCGTGCCCTCTACATAGTTTCATGCTCACCTACAATGTAAGAACTACATAAACCAATGCTTAGTAAGCAAGAATCATGCATGTCATGAGTATGAGTAACAAGGATATGTGACACCATGTCATTTACTTTAAACATCATGCTAAAGATGCATCATATTCCAATATTCATCAAAGTCAACTCGAAATTATTTCATTTGAAATATTTCATTTCATTGGGCCCTTAACCCACCAACTATGCACCGGATAGAGCTCTGCATAATATCAATTTTAATAATCAAGTGGCCAATATGAAATCAACACTGGCGAGTGGACCATCCTCTCGTGACCACTAGAGGCCCATCCCCTAACTACCCCTATGATCACCCAAGAAGTCTCCCACCCGGCAGCGCCAATAATCATAACAAGGGCATAGTCGAGTGGTCCGCCCTTCCATGATCACCAAAGGCCCATCCCCTGTCTACCATTGCAATCACCCAGGAAGTATCATCCGCGATGCCAAACATTTCACATAAGCATGCCTCACATGCCTCGGTGCTCTAGTAGTGGTCAATATAACATTTATAAAGAAAACTTACTTTGAAATCATGTTTTGCATGCAAAGTTTTCAACCATGATCATATGTTGTGCATGCCAACAAAAATGCTCATGAATGACATGCTTAATGGAAGTTGATGTCAATGTATTTTGCAACCGCATACTCAATGATCGTAATCATCATATAGGGTGCAACGAGCTTTCTTATCAAAGTATGAAAATATCCTAACATCACTATACCACAAATGCTAGGTTCTTGTATCGTAGTTACAAATGGATTTTTACTTACCTTTTTGCCCTTGTGTGTGCACAAGCTCCTACGGAGATTATATCACTTTCCTTTTTCACTCAACGTTGGAAAATCACCTGTATTACCATTTAATATTAAAGACAATCCTCCATTTAATAACCTTAAAACACACAAAATCCCAAAATACTTCCATTCACGTCAAAATAATTTAAACGAATTCATTATTCAAGTTACTAACGGCATTACAATCTCGTCCCATAAGTCTCATTTTTCCTCGAGTCCAATTACCAACATCAACATCATCCAATTGTTGTCAACAACCTAATACTCCTTAGAATCTATTTTCTAGGCCCAAGAGATAATTAATTTACATGTAAAGGTTGAAATCATATTAAATACATAAATGGACAGAACCTGTTTTTCAGGTTTCATCACCGTCCAACTACTTTTCCAATCCGTTTTCACCCCCTTATCCATATCCAATCCGTTTCTATAACATGTATGTGAAGGCAATAATGCTCTAAAGTCGTGACAAATCAAGTGTTCTCAGCATCAAAATAGTCCATTTCCATAACATCAAAATCAGGTAGTTTTCATTGTGATAACTTTCGGTTTCCATCCCAGGCTATTAGAAGACCATTTATATCCTTCTAAATCCCATATAACAACATTCATTTACATAGATACAAGTTATATCTTCAGTATTATCCAAAATCAAAGTTTAAACCATCCAAATTCATCAATCAACACATCTCTATTCCTATTGGTTTCTTTCAGGTTCTTGTACTCAATTACCCCTCTCTTTTGCCATCATAAAATCATAAACAACCCTTATACTTAGCGTCAAGTAAGTTTATAGTTTAAAAATATTATAAAACAAGCAAAAGAACTAAAGAAAAACTTCAAAACCGTGAGCTAAACTCACCTATCCAGAAATTCAATTTCAGCTCCTTGTTTCTGCTTCTCTCTTTTACCTTTTGCTTTCTCTTTGAATTGGTGGTCAATTGGGGATAATTTGTAAGACTAAACATGTTTTTAGGAGGTGTATATAAAGTCTTCAAGATGCTGGAGACGTGACTCTTCCTTAAGGATTAAGAAAATATGGGGTGCAGCCAAGTGTTTAGCATGAGGTGGTCTTTTCCTACTATATTTGACTTTTCTCTTGGACTATTTAACTTATATTGATTTATAAGATATATATATATATCTATCTATATTAAATAAAAAGAGGTAGGAGACGTGCTATATATCTTAAGGATGAAGGGATTGAGTGTTAAAATGACAACTATCCCAAGCATGAGGTGCCAAGCACAACGTGTCTTCATTGCAGCCATACTTGATTTTCAACCATTATATTTGGATCCATTTATGATTATAAGATATATATTCATCCTATAATAAGTGCTTAAGGAGTAGTACACAAGATTGATGCCTTAAGGTTGGGTGTTAAAATGATAAATATTTAAAGCATGAGGTGTTCAAGCATGAGGTGGTCACTAGTAAAAAAATCTGATTTTATATCTATCTTTGTAGGTATAAATCAAGTATCCTGGGCTTATGTTATTGTGTTTACAATCCATTTCACTTGCCCTAAGTTCCCAAAATATTTTATAGAGCGAATTTGATGCGAACCCCATAGCAACGTTGACTACGAAACCCACAACGAGATTGACGAACCCAAGAAAGCCAAATTAATCCAAGAGTTTAGGATTAACCCAAAAGAAAGTCGAACAAAAAAATCCAACAAGAACGATGCTTGAAAGACCCCTCGATCACGTAATCCAAGAATTAAATCCGATTGTTTGAACGCCACAAGTTAACACTTGATAAGTTCGAAATTGTTTAATGAAGAACGATGAAGAGAAGACAATACGTCTCACTTTTAATTCAATGTCAATAATGTCAAAAGGTTTTTAACAATTGAATGGAAACTCCTATTTATACTAAACCTAAAAACTAGGTAGAAAATCGTGCAAAAGTCGAGTATAATCTCCAAAATATGGAAAAGAATCAAAATCTAACAAAATATAGAAAATTGCCAAAATTGGAAAATTCGCCAAATTTTTGGCCTGTGCGGCCGCATTGTGTAAATCCATGCGGTTGCATGGTTCAACTGAAATTGTACTTTTGGTTTTCGGTATGCATGTGTGCGGCCGCATGTGGTTTTGCCTGTACGGCCGCATGGTGTTGTCTTTCGCCTCCGCTTACGTCGCTTGGTAACAAATTGATCCAAGTTGATTCGGCCTTCGACCCGAACATGAAAGTTGTTCCATTTTGAGTCCAGAACATGGTTCCATCAATGGTTTCTTGAACAAGCAATCTCGTCGCTTGTTTCACTTGCTTTGCTCTTGATCGCGTCATTGGTCCGCCATCGACTATCAACGGGTCTCGTCTTGCACTTGCCTTCATCGGGCTTGACTCCTGGATCATATCATCCCCTCCCTCTTCAAAAGGATTCGTCCTCAAATCTGAACCTGCATCAAATAGAGAGAGATCAGTTACATTAAAAGTAGCTGAAACATTGTACTCACCTGGAAGGTCCAACTTGTAAGCATTGTCGTTTATCTTTTCAATCACTTGAAATGGACCATCGCCCCTCGATTGTAACTTGGACTTTCTTTGCTCCAGAAACCGTTCTTTCCTAAGGTGCACCCAAACCCAATCTCTTGGCTCGAATGTCGCGCGCTTCCTACCTTTGTTCGCCTGCGACGCAACCAACTTACTTTTGTTTTCAATTTGCACTTTTACCTTTTCATGGAGTGACTTAATCAATTCCGCCTTCTTTTTGCCATCTAAACTACCACGTTCATTCACAGGTAAAGGAATTAAATCCAAAGGAGTTAGTGGATTAAAACCATATACAATTTCAAATGGAGAATATGATGTAGTAGAGTGAACAGCTCGATTGTATGCAAATTCAACAAATGGTAGACACTCCTCCCAACACTTCAAATTTTTATTGATTACTGTGCGTAACAATTATGTCATAGTCCTATTCACTACCTCGGTCTGCCCATCTGTTTGTAGGTGACAAGTTGTGGAAAATAGTAACTTAGTGCCTAACTTAACCCAGAAAACTCTCCAAAAGTGACTCAAAAATTTGACATCCCGATCCGACATTATACTTCTAGGAACCCCATGTAAAAGCACAATCTCTTTAAAGAATAAGTCAGCAATATTCATGGCATCGTCAGTTTTGTTACATGGTATAAAATGTGCCATTTTGCTGAACCTATCTACAACCACAAAAATAGAATCCCGACCTCTCTTAGTCCTAGGTAAACCCAAAACAAAGTCCATCGAGATATCAACCCAAGGCTCACTAGGTGTAGGTAAAGGTGTGTACAAACCTTATGGTAAAACCTTAGATTTAGCCTTTTTACAACCTATGCATCGACTACAAATTCGCTCAACATCACTTTTCATCTTAGGCCAATAAAAATGCTCCTTCAATACATCTAAAGTCTTTTGAACCCCAAAGTGTTCCATCAATCCTCCACTATGTGCCTCCCTTGCTAACAATTCTCGAATAGAACAATTAAGAACATATAACCTATTTTTCCAAAATAAATACCCCTCATACCTAAAGAACCTATCAACCGCCTCCTTAATGCATGACAAATAAATATCCGAAAAATCAACATCCTTTTCATATAATTCCTTAATATGTTCAAACCCAAGTAACTTAGAATGAAGAGTAGTTAGCAATACGTACCTTAGAGACAACGCATCCGCCACCACACTTTCCTTACCTTGTTTATACCGAATGACGTATGGAAAGGTCTCAATGAATTCCATCCATCATGCAAGCCTCTTGTTCAATTTACCTTGTCCCCACAAGTGCTTTAGTGACTCATGATCGGTGTGTATTACGAACTCCTTCGACCATAGATAATGTTGCCAAATCTCCAAAGCTCGAACAAGTGCATAAAGTTCTTTGTCATATGTAGGATAATTTAAAGCAGCTCCACTCAATTTCTCGCTAAAGTATACAATAGGCCTCTGATCCTGTATTAAAACTGCTCCAATCCCTATTCCTGATGCATCACACTCAATCTCGAATATTTTGTCAAAATTAGGTAATGCCAAAACAAGTGCTTCACACAATCTACCTTTAATAGTATTAAATGCAAGTTCCTGTTCATCACCCCAGTGAAAACCTATACTCTTTTTAACTACTTCCGTGAGTGGTGCGGTGATAGTGCTAAAATCCTTCACAAATCGCCTATAAAAACTAGCCGAACCATGAAAACTCCTAACTTTCGTTATGCTTTTAGGTGTCGGCCAATCTCTAATAGCTTTTATCTTTTCACCGTCTACTTCTACCCCATTAGCACTAACCACAAATCCAAGAAATATAACTCTATCCATACAAAATGTGCATTTCTTAAGATTAACATAGAGTTGTTCTTTCCTTAAAACAATTAGCACACATTTTAAATGTTCCAAATGCTCTCCTAGGTTTTTGCTATAGATTAAGATGTCGTCAAAATAAACCACAAAAAATTTTCCTATAAAAGCACGTAAAACATGATTCATTAAATGCATAAAAGTGCTAGGTGCATTTGTGATTCCAAATGGTATAACCAACCATTCATATAAACCATATTTAGTTTTAAAAGCCGTTTTCCATTCATCACCCTCCCGCATACGATTTGATGATACCCGCTTTTTAAATCAATTTTAGAAAATATGCAAGAACCATGTAATTCATCAAGCATGTCATCTAACCTAGGTATAGGGTGACGATACTTTACCGTTATGTTGTTGATAGCCCTACAATCTACGCACATTCGCCATGTTCCGTCCTTTTTTGGTATAAGCAAAACCGGTACCGCACAAGGACTCATACTTTCCCTCACGTATCCTTTGCTCATCAATTCCTCCACTTGTTTTTGAAGCTCCTTGGTTTCCTCGGGATTACTTCGATAAGCCTGTCGATTTGGAATGACAGCTCCGAGTATGAAGTCAATTTGATGTTCAATGCCTCAAATAGGCGGCAATCCACTTGGTGCATCCTCCGAAAATACATCGTCGAATTCCTGCAACAACGACTTAGCCAAACTAGGGAGGGGTGGGTTAGTTTCCTCAAAATTGAGGAGTGATTCCATATAAACGAACAAGATCATCTCTTTCCTCTCAACTACCACCCTCCTCAAATCACTCTCTTTTACAAAGAAATTCGCTCGTGTTTTCTCTCTTCTCTCGGGGCACTCTCTTTCTTTTCTCTCTTGTGATTGCTCTCTCTTTTCCTCTCTAATGGCTATCTCAACATTTTCTCTCTTTGCCTCCAACTCACTATTTGCTCTCATTTTTTCTAACTCTTTTGCTCTCCTTAATTGGTCCTCATAGACTTGCGCCGGTGTTAATGGCACAAGAGTAATGGTCCTTCCATCCTTAATGAAACTATATCGATTTTTGTACCCATCATGCATAGCTTTCCTATCATATTGCCATGGTCGCCCCAATAAAATATGTCCTGCTTGCATTGGCACCACATCACACACTAACTTATCCTTATAACTCCCAATTGATAAATTAATTAACACTTTTCGATTCACCCTCACCTCGCCACTCTCATTCAACCATTGCAATTTATAAGGTCTCGGGTGTCTCAACAATGTTAAACCCAATTTTTCTACAAGAGATACGCTAGCTACATTAGTGTAACTAACACCATCAATTATAACACTACATACCGTATTGTTGACGTGGCATCGAGTGTGGAAAATGTTCTCCCGTTGCAACTCCAAGTCATCCGCTTTGACGTGAGTAGTGAGAGCTCACCTTGTGACTAATAGATCCCCAACCGGCCCTTCAACTTTTTCTTCTTCACTAACACCCTCCAACGTCGGCATGTCAACAAACTCGGCATCACTATCGCTCACAATCTGTCCATTACCCTGCAACACCATCGCCCGTTTGTTTGGGCATTGAGAAGCAATATGCCCGTTCCCAAACACCTAAAACATTTGATGTCC